CTCCCTCTGTAGTCCCTGTCCCAAACAATCACACCTGGACTACCTCTTGGACACTGAGGTGTGTGGTCCACCCATGGGAGGACAGACAGATAAAGAGGACTAATGGGCCCTGGAGGTTGGCTCTGGGGCAGAGAATTCCAACACCCTGGGTACCTGGACTATGGTTTAGGAAGAGGGGAACAGTAAACTCTGAGAGGAGGTGTAGAGGCAGATCCTTTAGCACACCCACTGAAGGCAGAGGTCCCAGCCCTGAGTCTGAGAACTACATGAAAAAGTCAGTGTCTCAGGCAGTGGGTGAAACATGACCTGGAGCTGCATGGGACGGTGGCAGGCCTCAGAGGACTAACTTCCTTCCCTTGCTTGGACTGTCAAAGCATCAGGAAATGCTGGACCCAGAATCAGCAGCTTCAGGAATCAGGCTTACTGGGGTAGGATGCAAGGGCCTCTCTCCACAGGTCTTTGGTTTTGAAGGGGGCTGCCCCTGAGAAGTCCTCAGCATAATTCTGAGTCTCATTTAGGTCTCTACAGAAAACTATATATACCTTACATGTGCCACCCCGAGCCCTAGGAGGCCCATATCTAAGAGAAGCCATGGAGGGCTGGGTACAGTGGCATGTGTCTATAATCCCAGTCACTTGGAGGCTGAGGTGGGAGGATTGCTTGAGCCCAGGAGTTCAAGACCAGCCTGGGCAACATAGTGAGACCACCATCTCAAAAAAAAAAAAAAAAAAAAAAAAAAGAAAGAAAGAAGGAGAGAGTGTGATGTCACATAGGTAAAAATACCACCTTTTTAGTCTCCTTATCTTGGAAATTGTGGGCAGTTTCTATAGAACAAATAAGTCTATTGAAGTTCAAGGAAATTGGGAAATCTGGGGGTAAAGTCTTTGCAGCAGGAGCGCAGTCCACTGACTATGCTTAGTTCTGAGATAAGCTACAAGCCCCTTCACTGCTGCTACAGGGGATTGACTCTGTTAACTGCGCCTAGGCTGGGGATTTGTGCAGAAGAGGCAGCGCTTAATTAGAACAAGAGAAGCGAAGCCTCCCTGCCGGTTTCCAGAGCCTCATGGCTCCCCAAGCTCCTGGCCAGAGTTAGAAGAGCTCTTCAATAAGATGTGGGCTTCTAGGTCCTTGTTTCTAAGTGTGGTTCTTGGACCAGAAGCACTGCATCACTTGGGAGCTTGTAGAGCTACAGAATCTCTAAGCCTACATGTGTATGCCTGAGTTTAAGAAGTGCTGTCCTCAAATGGCTGGGTACGATTCCTAAATTTAGCTAAATCTCTGATTAATGATGGGCTTCAGGACTTGCTTGTGCTTCATAATTTTCAGACAGCAGTATTATCCCTACACTCCATTGCAGCTCTTCCTTCTCCCAGACAGAATTCTCAGGCTGTTACTCCCAGCACAAGTGTTTGGTCTCTGTAACAGCTCTTTGAATACTCAAGGCCGGGGCAGTCTTCTGTTCCTTTCAGATCTTCCTGCAGAACACTGAATTTCTCTGTATAAGATCCACACCAGCAACATCAGTATTACTTGAGAATTTGCTAGAAATGCAAATTCTCAGACCTCACCCCAGTACTTGGAGATCAGAAACTCTAAGGTGGAGCCCAGCCATCTGTGTTTAACAGGCCCTCTAGAGGTTTCTGATGCAGACTCTACTGTGGGAACTACCAGAGCCTTGTTACAGTGTGGTCCATGAACTAGCACAGCATCATCCAGGAGCATGTTAGAAATGCAGACTACAGTCAGGAGTTTCAGGAGCCCTGCTCCAGGCCAAGAAGGGAGGGACACGTCTACAGAAGAGCAGATGATCAACAGGTAAAGTACATGGGCAGTTGCAGTTTTTCTGAAGAACATGGGTAGGATGGAAATGTGAGGTTAGTTTAGGATGAACTGAATCTTAGGGGAGGATTTCTGGGGAACCAGAGAATAAGTAAACTTCCTTAGGTGGAAATGAATCAGAATGCTTAGGTCAGTTGGCAAAGTCAGGCCTTAAACCTGGAAAAGCTCAGGTTCTTGCCAGGATTAAGGTTTCCCCTCAGAGCAGGAAGTAGTAGTACACACCCAAATTTCCTTTCAAAGGCAGAAGACCCTTCTTTGATATAAGGCCTAGAAAGGAAAGAGGGAAAGCCACGGTGGCACCTGATATTTCTTCAGAAGAATCTCTCTGGGGGATAAGACTCAGTTGCATTTATGCTGGCCATTTTAATTTACTTAATTTAATTTTAGTTGCAGAGTACCAGCGAGGATTTACTACATAGGAAAGTTGCCTGCAGGTGAAGTTTGGCTTGTAATGGGCCCTCTCTCACCCACTAGTGGACCAGGTACCCAGTGTGTTGCCAAGTGCCTCCCCTCCTCCCTTCCTCCCTCCTTTCCCTAGCAGTGTCCAGTTGTCCGCCCATTCCATCCTTGTGCTCATGTGACCTATGATCAGGGCCCATTTATCATGGGCCCTGATCACATGAAGTATTCAGTTATTTGCTTCTGTGATAATTCACTTAGTATGATGGTCTCTAGCAGCATCCATGTTGCTGTGAAGGTCATGATTTTGTTATTCTTTGTATGCTGGCCATTAAAAAAATTGTATTTAGCTGGACTCGGTGGCTCAGCCTGTAATCCCAGCACTTTGGAAGGCCAAGGCGAGTGGATTGCTGGAGCCTGGGCAACTTGGCCAGACCTTGTCTCTGCAAGAAATAAAAAATTAGCCGGGTGTGGTAGTGCGCGCCTGTAGTTCCAGCTACCTGGAAGGCTGAGGTGGAAGGATTGCCTAAACCCAGCAGGCTGACACTGGGGTGTCTGTGAGTGTGCCACTGCACTCCAGCCTGGGAGACAGAGTGAGACTCCAACTCAAAAAAAAAATTTTGTATTTTCCTCTTTATTTCTTTCTTCCTGTCTTTCTTTCTTTTGTAAGTAGAAATTTCTTTTGCACAACTCACAGGAGTTGGAAGTCAAAGGAATAAAAACGTGAGGCCTGGGAAAGACACAGATGTGTATTATTCACTCTGGTCCTGCAAATACCTATGCTTTGAGAAGATTTTAAATTCTTCTCAGTGGACTTTTTTTGAGAAATTATGATTGGCAGATAATGAAAAGTTTATTTTTAAATAATTAGAAAAATGGTTAAAACAAGATAGAGTGAAAATAGCTCTAGACATTTTTATGTAAAGGAGCAACTTCTAAGAATTTGTATATGTCATCCTGTTCTACTAGTTTTGAGGTTGACAGAGTTTTCAGGAGTTGGTATCTTTTCATCTTTAATACAAAGTTGAACTGACCACTGCAGGATATTGACATTGTATTATAAATTTTTAAAAACTTCATATTTTCTTGATTCCTTAACATCCTACAAACAGGCTATGAGCACTAAACTCAGGAGACCAGGTGCACCAGTATGATAAGGCTGGTTCCTGCCACAAGTTCCCCATCTTGTCCTTCCCTGTAACATTCAAACACATTTTGCTTGTGTTCTCCACCCTGACCCCCGGCAAAGGCACTTACCCGGGCCTCTCTTACCCCGCCCCCGACTTACTTCCCCACAACTGAATTGAGCCCACTCCCTGGGAGTTCTCCCATAGGGTCCCCTACATGACATGGCATGCCTCCCTCTCTGAGACCTGTGAGTATAATTTCATGAGTCCTGCAGTCTTGTTGGAGTGATCCTTTAAGACATTTGCTAAGATTAATATCATTTCTTTTTGTGATTATTCCCTGTCTTTAGCAAATTAGTTGAGAAGAAAACCTCTGCCAAGGATAACCAAGAGCATCACAGTACTGGTGCCTTCCACTTCAGAAGACAGGAAACGTGTGTGGAATAAGTTGAACGGTTATGACACAAAAGTTGCCTTTTAGACCACAGGTTGAATCTGAAGAATGATTGCTACCAGGGCTCACAGGGCCTGAGAATATTTTAGAGCCTGAGTTGGTGGTCCAGTTGAACCTTGGGTGGTACAGTTGATCCTTGAACAACACAGGCTTCAATTGAGTGGGTCCACTTACATGTGGATTTTCTTCTACCTCTTGCACCCCAAAACAGCAAGACCAACCCCTCCTCCTCCTCCTCAGCCTATTCAAAGTAAAGATGAAGAGGATGAAGACCTTTATGATGATCTGCTTCCATTTAATGAATAGTAAATATATTTTCTCTTCCTTATGATTTTTTTTTTTTTTTGAGTCAGAGTCTCACTCTGACACCTAGGCTGGAGTGCAGTGGCATGCTCATGACCACCGCAGCCTCAACCTTCTGGGCTCAGGCGATCCTTCTGCCTCAGTCTTCCAAGTATTTGGAACTACAGGCATGTGCCACCATGCCCAGCTATTTTAAAAAAATTTATTGTAGAGAGGAGGTCTCATCAAGTTACCCAGGCTGGTCTCGAACCTGTGGGCTCAGGCAGTCTTCTCAACCTTGGCCTCCCAAAGTGCTGGAATTATAGGTGTGAGCCACCGCGCCTGGTTATGACTTTCTTAATAGCATTTTCTTTACTCTTTATTGTAAGAATACAGTATATAATACATACAATTTACAAAATGTGTTACTTGACAGTTTATGTTATCAGTAAAACTTCTGGTCAACAGAAGGTAATTATTCTATTAGTTAAGTTTTTGGGGAGTCAAGAGTTACACATAGATTTTTGACTTCATGGGGTTGACAACTCTAAATCCCATTTTGTTCAAGGGTCAACTGCACTTTAGAGCTTGTTAAGGTTTATTCTAATCAAGAAAATCTATTTCTAAATCCAGAACAGAACAAAGCTTCTAGAGTGTTCCTTCTGCTGCAATAGTGCTTTTGCTGTTTAGCCAGTGCTAAACACATTTAGATACTTGTGGAGAAAATGAAAAAGCAGCAGAAATGAACTTGGAGGTGACTGAGAAGTAAGGATGAGGGTAGGTTCAGAAGCAGGTACATGAACCATCAGCTATTGCTTGAGGAGGGGGGACTGATTAACCCCCCAAATGATCCTGCCAACACAGGGCGAGAACCAGGGAATACAACTGCAAATGCCATAGATGGTGCTCATCTTAGCTTCTGTTTAATTTCAGTCAATATTAAACATTTATAAATTTTTTTATACAATAAAACAAGAACATGCAAAGTTACAAATATAGAAAATATATAGTACATGCATATTTCAAAGACCAGTTAATGGTGATCACTTTGGATTCTTATACAAAACTATTCAGTGCACATTTTAAACCTAAAGACCACGCAAAAGGGTTTCTCACATATTAAGTATTTAGTACCTTAAAAAATAGTTAATGCATTAGATACTTCAGATGTTGACTGTTCTAAACAAAACTCCTAACTTTGTCATATGCAATATATATCAATATTTTTATATTTTACATAGAATACCTGCACAGTGCAAGCCAATAACATTGCAGAATAGTAATATGTATCTGCTAGGTGACAATATCGAACAATTCAGGGAATAAGTTTACCTTACTTAAATAGCATTAACAGAATTTTTTCCCACTTTGAATGGATTATATTTCTGTCTTCTCCAACCTAAGCTATTTTTTTTTTAAAGATTGTCTCCCTATTCTTTGATTCAAAAGCCAATTACACAAACTACGGACTCGACCTAATTCTGGCATTTGATAATCATGAGACAGAAATAAAGAAATGCAAGCACGCCGCTTTGTGCACTAACCATTTTCCTCACTACACAATCTACTATGTGTATTTCACATCTTCAGCTTTCCTCTAGCCTAAAATCTCTTGGTTTCACCCAAACAATGGAAAAATCATTCTGGTTTCTAGGTAAACGAACATAGGAGATTTGCCTTCTAGAAGGTCATTTCATTTTCTGCTGCTTTCATTATCTGTAGTGTAGGAATGCCAGGTGTAGATGTTTTAAACATCCCGATTGGGAAGCTGCCTCCAAGAGGACCATTCCCAAGTGGACATTTCAGTCCCAGAAGCCTTTCATATATGTTATGGTTATGGTCATTCCCTGGGACCCTTGGTCAGAGGTCTCGTGTGTATCAATATTTATTCCTGATGCAACAGCTGCTGTGTAGCCCATACTGTGAAAGGCAAAACATCGCCCCAGTTCCCTGCAGACACAGCAAATGCTCCAGCGGGCTGAGCCTGCGGCCCGAGAGCTAAGGATTTCTAGTTTTTTTTGTGTATATATATTTTTTGAGTGAGTATCATGCGGCCTCCTTTTACATTTGGCAGAAATGCTGTCAGGACTTCTTAAAACAAGCGAGAAAATTTCTCCAAATAGCTGTGAAATCCCTGGTAAGAGGGATATCAGTGTACTGAGCTCTAGCTGCTCAAGGAGCCAGAGGTATTCAGGCAAAGGTATTTGAGGACTGTTTTGAGATTTGTTTTAGCCTCAACCTGCTGCGCTAGACCAAAAGTAAGTCTAGATTAATCAATGATTATTTGCTGTTATACTTTTACCAGTCCAGCATTGGCACTGGCTTATGAAGGGTTCAGTCAAAGGGGGCTTGAGTAGATAGCATCCTGGGGTCTACCCTATCTTTTCCACTGCCCATCAGTGCTAAGGGTATTGATTAGCCTAAGAAGAACAAAGAGAAGCAAGAATGAGACACCGCCACTAAAAAGGCTGCAGGTGGATATACCCCTTCCCCAACCTGGAAAAAGATAAAGAAGATGGTGAAAACAGGAAGACCTTCCTCATCCCACTATCAGGAAGATGAGGAAGGAGATGAGGAGGATCACGGGCGGGGAGGAGAAGAGGACCACATTCGATCCACTGTGGTAGGAAGCCTGGTATTCCTTCTGGTACTGGGTGATACACATCTGCTCGACCACACGCTCCATCATCTTAATGTCGGTCTCGGTGAAGTTTTCCCCTTTGGTGGTGGTAGTAACCGTGTGCTGCTTGATGGTGATATTGACGCAGTCGTGCACAAAGTTGTTCTGGTTGTTGTACTGATCCATGGGCCTGTAGTACACTTGGTTGGGGTAACGGTACATGTTTTCACGATAGTAACGGTCCTCATAGTCATTGCCAAAATGTATGAGGGGCCTGCTCATGGCACTCCCCAGCATGTAGCCGCCAAGGCCCCCCACCACTGCCCCGGCAGCGGCAGCACCTGCCACGTGCTTCATGTTGGTTTTCGGCTTACTGGGCTTGCTCCACTGGCCTCCTTGACCCCAGCCGCCACCACCATGAGGCTGTCCCCAGCCACCACCATGGGGCTGTCCCCAGCCGCCACCATGAGGCTGTCCCCAGCCGCCACCATGGGGCTGCCCCCATCCGCCACCGCCCTGGGGTGGATAGCGGTTGCCTCCAGGGCTGCCCTGCCCCGGGTATCGGCTACCCCCACTGTTCCATCCTCCTCCGCCTCCAGGCTTCGGTCGCTTCTTGCAGAGTCCCACGTCACTCCACGTGGCCACAAAGAGAACCAGCAGCCAGTAGCCAAGTTTTGCCATGATGCTGATCTGCAAAATGAAGAAGAGGAGGCCATCAGAGTCCTGTATTGAAACTGAAATCATTTAAGGTTTGCTGCGTAGTGAATGAATACACCACAACGGTATCAGCTGCTCAGTCTAAACACGTTTCACGCCCTGTAATTCTCCTCTGCAGCACTCAGCTCAAAACCAATTGTCAGTAAAGGGTAGACACAACTCTTTCTCCTTCTCTGGGGACAAATCTGACCCTAAGTTAATTTTTAGTTCTGTTTCCTGGAAACTTGATAATGTTGGAATGCTAGCAACGTTGCTTATGGTAAAATTTACCTCCAATTGGTAAATGCCATCTAGACGGGGAGGAAACATAGACTCCTGGTGGGTCTGCCATAGCTTTGGGCTTCTTTAGAGGAGTGATTATTGTAACCGGGCATATACATGTGAATACCCTTGAAGCTGTGTCTGTCGGGCTGTCTCCTGTGGGAGTTGGGCTTTCTATGCCAAGGAGAACCCTTTACCCAACAATATGTATTACCCATGACCTCAGCAATCTCTTGCAGGGTTTGGGAGTGAGGAAAAGTCTCTGGCTGCTGTGGGGACTGCTGTGAGGACCCCAATGCATCCCCTTCTGAGGAACCTGAGGCCAAGTGTGGCCTATGGAAGTCTCGTGAATCTAGTTTAGTTAGGAAGATCCCAGGTGGGGGTGGCAGCACAGTATAATTTTGTAAATAGCTGGCTCAAAGTCTTCTTTCCTCTGCAGGACTACAAGCAGGGAAGAAGTCTCTCTTGTTTGCCGTTGTATCCTCAGGGGCTAGGGCAGTGCCTGGCACAGAGCAAGACACAATAGATATTTGTTAAGTAAAGGAATTAATATCCCACAAACATATAAATGCCAAGAAGAATTTCCCAAAGGAATGGTCGACACAGTTCTACTAGAACTGAAATATCTGGGGTTGTGCTCACTTGTAAATTCATCTCTCTCCCTCTAGATTGGTAGACAGATGATGGGGCTACTCAAAGTAGGGGAAGTGGGCTGTGTTTATAAGCTGTGGAGTCACTCGCTGAATGAGTTTTAGTTCAGCGTTTAATGCTTTGTGAGTAACTTATTTCCTTCAAATTTGATACAAAAGAGATATTTCTTTATAAAAAGGTTAGTACAATTTTGAAAACAACAAACAAATCAAATATTCTGTATGACAGTTTCTAACCCTCAATTCATCAAATTAAAAATCTCTCAGATCGAAGACTTAATTTACCCTGGGTCTCCAGTCTAAGGACAGAGTTCAAAGACACAGAGTAGAATGATTAGTAGACAGTATCTACTGTAGCCTGGATCAAACTACAAGCTCCAAAACATCATTGTTTGTCATAAAATCTAAAATGGCACATGCCATAACACTGAAGTTAGTCTTGTCCCCAGCACTGGGATTAGCTGCAAATTTTTTTAAAATTAGAAGAAAACTATATTTCATATCCTTCAGAACTAATGAATAAATTGGGTAATATTCATAGAAAAAATGGCTAAATAAATGAATTAACATCCTATTTATGTTTCTACTGACATTATTGAAATTGGAAGTGCTGCCTTGGTGGTCACAAGTACATCAAAATATATTTGAATGGTACAAGCTGAGTTAAAATACTCAGGTCATGCTGATGATATTTGGAGGCTTTTTTGGGTGGAGGTCTGAGGAGCATGGTGTTCTTTGTAAGCCTACTTCCCTGATCTAGTCTCTATGATCTCGCAGGGTCCAGCTCTTGGCGCTCCCGCACCTCAGGGAACCAAACTAGGGGACTGTCTCCTCACACATAACTCCCAGTCTGAAGGGCTTTTATGTTAACAACTTCATTCACTCCAATGAGACAGACCCAGCCAATGCTCTGGCGTTACTGAATTTTCTCTCTCGTCGCCTACATAGGCTCTATCAGCAAATCTTAGCAGCCCTACCTTGAAAATAAATCCTAAGCACCTCAGCTTCTCACAATTTCCAACATGGCCATCCTAGTCGGATCCTCCATCCTGAATGATCCCTTCAACAGCCTTCTTGCTTCTCTCCAGAGCCCACTGTGTGTTCTCCTTTTAATATGCAGGTCACATTGTGCCACTTCCCTTGTCCCTAGGTGGCGCTCGTTTGTACTCGGGATGAAATGCAAAGTCCTGGCCATGCTGGTTGGGCCCCACAGGACCTGGCTGGTCTCTGGCCCTCTCTGGGCCTTTGCACTCGCTGTGCCCTGGGCCTGAAAGGTTCTTTCTTCAGCTACTCATGTGGCTCAAGTCTGCTCAAATGCCGTCTCGGGGGACACTCCACACCACTCTATCTAAAAATAGCACACCTCATCTATTCTCCTCCTCTGCCTCATTTTTCTCTGGAACAGTTATGGCTACTTGATACAGTATATTATTTACTGTGGGTGTACTGTTTATTTTCTCCACTGGAGTGTAAGCTCCTCCAGGGTAGGGGCATGGTTTTGTTCACAGTGCCATCTCTAAACACAGCGCTTGACCCATAGGTATGCAAAATAAATGCTGAACAAATGAATGAGTGTGAAACATTCTATAATAAAGCATAAGAAATAATCAAACTAAAAATTAAATATTTACATGGCTATCCAAAAAGAACAATATTTATACATTTATAGAACATTCTCTTCTGCAATGGCCAGCTAACATTTTCAATTCAGTTAAATAAACACTTATTTCATGTGCCAGCTAACATAACAGATGCTGGCAGGCAGGAGGTACTCCCTGAAATGGCAAGATGGGAGGAAGAGGAGGCTGCAGGGGAATATCACTGAGGTGGCTTTGAACAAGCCTCATTTAAGGCTATGAAAGTTTTGGCTCTGAGCTCATAGAGACACATGAACAGGCCATGGTGCGGCAGAGTGAGTGAGGCACAGAGAACCAGGCACAGAAGGTGGATGAGGGCCGATGGTTCAGAATGGAGACGTGTGGTGAGAGAGGACACTGGTGAGTCTGGGGACCTAGTCATCTAAGATACTCTGTGAATAGTCAGGAAGTGGCCTAGCCCTCAGGCACGTTTCCAGATACTCTCAGAAACAAGAGATGGATATTCATTGTCACAGGACTCAAGGTCTAATGCCAAATGCAAAGAAGTAACAGGGTAAGAACTGCAAGGAAAGAACTCAAGCTGACACTGCAGTTAGTATGGTCATTCACACAGAACATCCAACAGAATCAACAGAGGTAACGTGAGAACCAATACCAGAGTTCCAGCAAGGTTGTTGGGTACAAAATCAGCCTACAAAAGTTAACGGCATTTCTCCACACCAGCAATAATTAACTAGAAGGAAAATCAGATAGTCACCATAATAACCAAACCATAAAGTATCTAGTAATTGACTTAACTAAGAAAAAAATAAGACTGGCATGGGGGGGGGAAATTAAAACTCTAATGTAAAGAACATAGAAGATGATCTAAAAAATGGAGATGCATTCCATTGTCTTGACTGGGATAACTCAGTATTATAAAGACGTCAGTTATTCCCAATGATAACTGGTGGGTAATTTTCTAAAAATGCCAATCAAAATTTCAGTTGGATTTTTTGAGGCATTCAATAAACTCACATGGGGTAGGGAATGTTCATGAATAACAAAGTCAGTCTTAAAGATAAGAGTAAAGAGGAGGGATCTGCCATATCAGATATGATATCATACTACAAGGCCACAGTGATAATGACTAGATGGTAAAAGCTCAGGAACAGATCAAGAGACCAAAGAAAACAGAGCAGCAAGTTCAGAGACAAATCCATGTAGACATGCTGTAACACAGACTTGATATACAACACACCACAAACCAATAAATAAGAAGGTTTGAAGCTGCTGGGAAGGTGGAGAAAAAGAAAACTGGACTCCTAACACCACACACAAATGTGAACTCTAGCTGGATCAAAGACCTACATGTGAAAGGTACAAGTATGGAGTTAGAAGAAGAAAATATATGCAAATGTCCTTGTGACCTGGAGGAGGAGGTGAAGAACTTTTCAAACAGAAAAAACCAAAAACTAAAAACCAAAACAAGCCATCAGGCAAATAATGGATGAATTTGATTATATAAAATAAAGGATTCTTGTTCAATATTATGAAGAACATTATGAACATAGTAGAAATAGTACACAATGGTATAAGGTACTATTTAAAACCAACACCCTGAACACTTGCCATAATACTATAAGAAAGGGATTCGCAGTAGAAGGAAAACTGCCAGGGGATGGAAGATGGGGCCACATAACGTTAATAAGGGTATCTGATCTCAAACCAGGCAAAGTGGGGACAAAGGTAAGCCAAAATTTTATCTGTATGATGACCACTTATATACCTAATCCTGACTTGGACCCCACATCTTTCAAATAAAATAAATAAAATAAAACCAACAGACCATCCATTTCTAAAACCTACAAGGAATTCTTGCATAGCAATACAGTAATTCCAATAGAAAAATGGCCAAAAGATATAAACTGATAATTTACAGGTCTGATGTGGTGGCTCATGCCTGTAATCCTGGCATCTTGGGAGGGCAAAGTGGGAGGGTCACTTGAGACCAGTCTGGGCAACATGGCAAGACCCATTTCTACAAAATTAAAAAAATTAAAAATTACAAAAATTAACTTTAGAATTAATTCACTCAACAAATACTTATGGAATAGCTAGTATGGGCCAGTTTAAACATAAAATAGAAAACTAGAATTGACCAATAACCATAAAATAAATGGAAAAAAATCTGTCAAAAATTGCGTGTTGTAATGTGATATTGATGGCACAACAACTTACGGATTAGCTTAACACTACATATTTTAAGTGTCCTCTAAAGGACTTATGCTAGGGCTGAGAACACAGTGGCGAATAAGATATTTAGCTTGGGGGTTTCGAAGACCAAAAAAGGACATCAAATGCCTGGAGCCTTACAAGACAGGGCAAGTGGACTGGCAAGTTTTTTGTTTTTTTTTTCTGAGTCAGAGTCTCACTCTGTTGCCCAGGCTGGAGAGCAGTGGCATGCTCATAGCCACTGCAGCCT